AACAAATAACTCCTACGCTGGCATTAGCATTATTTTTGCGGCCATAAAAGTGTTTCCTGAGGGATGAACATAATTGGTTGTTTATAAATAAAAGCTAGAAATACCATTAAACGCTTGCGATGTGTCACTGGAGAGATCAGAGTAAACAACCTGTTTTTATTGCACATATTCCTCTTTGTGACAAAACATGGATATTGGAAACCACATGAAATTAACTGATAAAGTAGACTATCCATCTTTGTGCTTAAATCAACCTACAATTACTTTGTGGTTGCAATGGCTACCTTAACATTTACTAGAGAAAGTTTGCTTTCGGCTTCCCCAAATGTGCTCAAATCCTTTCTTACTGTGGAGAAAGGAAGTATATAGTATATATTTATTAGATCAAAAATACAACAAAACAGTAATATTAAGAAATAATATTAACAGACAGATCGATAGATAGATAGATCTATCAAACAGTTCTCTAGCGTCTAGTGATACTACATTATTGTTGGCACTTTTCACTTCTTCTTAGTTTTTGTTCCGTGTCTTTTGCCACCAGATGATGAATAATCTCATTTACTTCTATTAATTTCTCACTTAATATGCATCACTTACATTAAGCCAACAACAACAACACAAAATTGAAGTGTTGCTGGCAAATTATGCACTGAAACCTCAGTCGGTATTCCAATAATTTGTAGACTTCAAGATGTTGTCAATCAACCTACCACGGCTTATGTATTTTTAAAACACTATCAAAATGCAACAGCTTACAGCTTCACACTACACCGATAAGTCAGACGTTTCTTTTTTCAGTGCTTTAAAGTCCAAATCAAAAACGTGACAACCTTTCACATGCAGTTAGAGTGAACGGGCTCTGCCACAATGTTGTGCATTTTCCCCTCAAAAACACAAGAGGAAAAATGCTGCCTTAGAAATGTCTTGTTTTTTTTTTTTCAGGTAGAAACCATGGCTTCTGGCTTGGCTAAAGTCTGCCACCCTTCATTTGCATTGGCTGAGCTGAAATGGCTTTTCTTTGGGGGATAGATAAATCACCACACATCTCCAGGTGTGCACAGGCACACTGCAGCAGTCGCCATTTGGATCAGCGCTACAGAGAAGTTGGGGCACGCAGAGTGCTCTGCCATCAGTGTGACAGTGTTTGTGACAGCTTATCTCAACAGTTCTCCATTATGCGGAAGCTGCGCTCATGATCAAAAGTAAAATACATGACATGACTGACGGCGATCAATACAAAAAGACTCCAGATGTCCTTAATGTTCTTTTCCACCTGATTTCACCTTTTTGCTGACTTCTGAATTGTGGCACCAATACAGCCATGAACTTACAAGATATAACATTGCTATGGAAATGTATTCATTTTCATTTGCTTTATGTTCTCACAGTCAAGGAGATGGGTTGCTTTGAGATAAATGCAATTGTGAGTCAAGCTGATTTAACTGATATCTGCAGGAGTCTATAGAATCAATAGTGGATGAACCAAAACTAACTGTGCCACATAACTGAGAAAATCAAAGTTTATTTGAATGGCTAAATTAAGAGAGAGGGAGGGGAAAAGCAGCACTCTGGGCTGACAGATGGTATGACTCATTTAATTCTCAAGTGGAAGGACTTCAAGTGGAAAAAAGGACTAAGAAATGAGGTCCAGAGATTCTCTGGTGTCTGCAAGACATGAGTGTAACACAGTTCACCGATCAGAAAGTCAAAAGTCAACACTTGCATACATTTCATTCTTTCCATTAATGCTGATTTGTTTGATTTGTGCAATTTGGATCCTTGGTGCATTCACTGTGGCAAGCATATGATTTTATATTCAAGCATATAAAATCAAATTCAAATGACGCTGCAAGTTTGGAGTGTTGAGAAAATGCCAACAGAATTTAATCTAATTTCTCTTTAAATCAGAAACACATTATTGTAACTTCTGACAAATATTTAGCTTGTTTATTATGAACAGTTGGCAGTGATTCAGATGTTGATGTCAGTAGGGGTAACAACATCCTGTTATTAACTATCAACTATTATCCACTAGCAATTGTTCAATTTCAGTTTTTGTTTCCTCAGGAACATGAGTTTATTATCAACAGATATGTTATTTAGAGAAACCACAAGTGTTTTTACAAGTGTTCAGCCCAACGCCAAACATTTCAGCCATCAAGACTAAACGAATAAATGAACAAACGCTTAGTAATTATGCACATACAGACCAGAAATTATGTACATGTAAAAGAGTTGCAATGATTTACTAAATATGATTTCTCATTAAAAATAATTCATCTATACATTTTCACATTATTTTCTTGCTCCCATGTTCTTTAATTAATGGAATATATATGTTATTTATTAGTATAAAATGGTTAGCACTGTTCTTGGCTTGAATAAAATCAAATAAGGCACTCAACACTCGAAAAAATAATTCAGTGGATCTGTTGCCACTACTTAATTTAATGCATTAGTGCAAGTTAAAAATTCTAATTTATTGATTTAATTAAACATTTTAAGTTTTAAACATTTTTTAATGAGTTGTCCTGACATCTTAATGTTGATAATTACATCAAGGTAATACTGTGTGTAACTTCAACTTAAATATCTGTGTTAGTTTGTTTAAAACATTATTTAAGTTGTACTAACTCAATGTAATTAGCTCCATAACTTCATTTTTTCAAATTCACGTTTCAGGTTCCCAGCATTCTTTGCATGTGACTGAATAATGAGCGGTAATGTAGAAATAAACTCATATTTTATGCATTTCTACTTAAGATCAGAACAGGAGAAGATGTATTAATGTTCAGTGTTCGGTTCTTTTAGTATTTAAATGTGTTTCTGTTATGTTGGTGGTTTTTATGAGATTACCATTGTGCTGAAGAGTAGAGCGTTTGCTTAGGTTGAGAACAGACTCACTGGATATTGTCTTACATGCTGTTTCAATCAAAAGGCATTTGGTTGAAAATGCTTAAAGATTGGTTTCCTGGCAGCATTAAGTGTTGTTTCATCAAAAAATAATATTTTAGGAGTTTTTGTAACCAGTGTCCATGATTGAATCAAATTTAAAACAATGTGAAAAAACAACTTAGAACAACTTAATTTTTATGAGTATTCAACTTAATAATTGTTAGTTTTAACACAATTTTCTAAGTATACGGTCTTTCGATCCATCCATCCATCTATCCATCTATCCATCTATCTATCTATCTATTCATCCATCCATACATCCATGCATCCACACATGGATGCATGCACATTGTGTTAGTAACACACACACACACACAAACAACAAGCATTCTACACATGAATGTCTCTTTATTCAAAAGAGGGTTTTTTCAAGAATCAAACTCCGCAATAAGGGTCTATACAGATCGACGGACTGTTGCCGTCCTCAGCAGTTTTGTTGTGCAGCTTTGTTCCAGACAAAAATGACATTATTTTAGACAGAGTTTCTGGAGCCAAGCGTCAAAGGACACAAGCACAGGCCACCTGTGTGTGACAACTAAAAAGAGCATGTAATTTATAATACAGGCTCTGACAAAATGTTCATTGCTTCAGTCATTAAAATCATTGCTAATTTTAAAAACAATTTGAATGATAAAGTCAATGTCTCATTCATAAAGATGGATGAATCAGTGTTTGTGAATGAATCTATAGTCACTATATTACTGTATACACAATATAACAGTCTAAAGGGGCTTATTTGCTATACACACACGTGTGTGTGTGTGTGGTCCTGGTAAAACCTAGGTGTGTAGGTGTG